AATGTTATGGTTGGGGGTCACCACAACACGAGGAACTGTATTAGGAAGGTAGAGAACCAATGGCTTAGAGATTTCGAGAGATAATATTTGTAATCAATTCTATGAATAATCACATCTCCAAAAGTTAACGCGGCCAATGTGGAGGGATGTTTGCACACATCTCCATCTGTGCTAGTACGGCTGTACCAGGAGCTCCAACTTTATTTTCTTTCTGTTATCTGTTTGCAGTCATAGGGCAGGCCTCCTGTCCATCATAATTAAGCTTTGGTTCCGCCCCTTGTTCAGGGCTCTGGGAGGGAAAGGAGCCATTTTTTGGGCAGTCTCACATAAGGAAGCTAAACTATAGGACGTAGACCAGCTCGTCCCATAGAAAAGCTTCTTTTCTCAAGAACATCCAGGGAAACAGAAACAGAAATTCCAGGGAAAAGGTCCCAAGGCTCTGGCTGAGAGCTCACAGCCTCTCAGCCTCACAGCAATCAGAGGGAAAACAGCCCTGAAGTTTTCAAAGAATTCTCTGAGGGAGGACAGCACTACAGATCCACGGAACTCCATCTGAAATATCTACAAGCCTCAGCTGGTAGGTCTACTCAATACCCAGACGCATTTGGAATCGGTAGTAGGACCCACACCGATGAGGCATAGATAGTAAACAGCCTGGGAGAGGTTAAATAAATAGGGTTTTTTTTCCTACAGAGAAAGTACAGTTAATCAAAGTCAGGTACCAGTCCATTGAGGACTAGACTAAGAAAGCCTTGAAGTGTTGTTTGAACCATTGAAGATTTGTTGTTTGTTCCATAATAAAGACTTTGTTGCATCATTAAAGACTCTAAAGACCATTACTTCAGAAAAATCCCTGAGAACCTCTCTTTGAGGCACCCTGGCTTCTCACTGGGCTTAAAGTATATGTCCTATAGAAAAGACAGCTGTTACAGGCCCAGCACACAACAGAACACCATCTTCGAATACATCACAGCCATTGCTGACCTGCCATCTATCCTTGGAGCAGCTACCTCACGTCAACTGGTGGTGTGGGCAATCTTGAATTCTCTTGAGGGGAGTGGGATCTCCTCCTCTTTCTCCTTTTACTGATGTCTCCTTTTCCCCTCTGAAATTACTGTTATTTAGTAGCCTCACTAAGTTTTCAAAACTAGCTGAGTAGATAGGCTGCGATACCCAACGCAGGGGCCACCAGCTAATTTGATAGACCTAGGTGCAATTTACAGTACCGGAGCGGAGGGGAGAACGCCGTGATAAACACCTCTTTGAATGTGGAACTCTGCTGATTTGCCACTGATGTCATCCAGCATTTTTTCTAATTGTGACTGGCTAGTCATGATGTAACATTTTAATTGATACGTAAAGCTACCTTTATATGCATATTCCCCTGCCAGCAGCTCCACTCGATATAGTACTTGCTAATTATACTAAAGCAGAGCCAAATAATAACATTTTCCTCAAGTAGCCGTGTTGTAGCTTATTTACCTGAAACCCACACCAAAATGAAAGGTGTGCAGACATCTCCTGCCTGTCCCACTAAACACAGAAGCTTCATCCAGCAGTAACAGGCTTTGTGTAAACAAGCGGAATTTGCAGAACACTGCTTATATCTCCCATTTGTTCATCCATACATGTGGTATAAACTTTTGTAGGTTTGTTTATGCATAGGTTTGATTTAAAACTGCATTTCTCAACCTGGGGGTCAGGACCCCTTGGGGAGTTACAGGGGGTGTCAAAGACCATCAGAAAACAGTATTATCTGTTGGTCATAGGGATTCTGTGTGGGAAGTTTGCCCCAATTCTATCGTTGGTGGTGTTCGGAATGCTCTTTGATTGTAGGTGAACTATAAATCCCAGCAACTACAACTCCAAAATGTCAAGGTCTATTTTCCCCAAACTCCACCAGTATTCACATTTGGGCATATTGAGCATTCGTGCCAAGTTTGGTCCAGATCCATCATTGTTTAAGTCCACAGTGCTCTCTGGATATAGGTGAACTACAACTCCAAAATTCAAGGTCAATGCCCACCAAACCGTTCCCGTATTTTCTGTGGGTCATGGGAGTTCTGCGTGCCAAGTTTGGTTCAATTCCATCACTAGTGGAGTTCAGAATGCTCTTTGATTGTAGGTGAACTATAAATCCCAGCAACTACAACTCCCAAATGTCACGGTCTATTTCCCCCAAACTCCATCAGGGTTCATATTTGGACTATTGAGTATTTGTGCCAAGTTTGGTCCAGATCCATCACTGTTTGAGTCCACAGTGCTCTCTGGATGTAGGTGAACTACAACTCCAAAACTCAAGGTCAATGCCCACCAAACCCTTCCAGTATTTTCTATGGGTCATGGGAGTTCAGTGAGCCAAGTTTGGTTCAGTTCCATCACTAGTGGAGTTCAGAATAATCTTTGATTGTAAGTGAACTATAAATCCCAGCAACTACAACTCCCAAATGACAAAATCAATCCCTCCCAATCTGACAAGTATTCAAATTTGGGTGTATCAGGTATTTGTGCCAAATTTGGTCCAGTGAATTAAAATACATCCAAATTTGGTCCAGTGAATTAAAATACATCAGATATTTACGTTATGCTTCATAAAACTGGGGTTCGGAATGCTCTTTGATTGTAGGTGAACTACAAATCCCAGCAACTACAACTCCCAAATGTCAAGTCTATTTTCCCCAAACTCCACCAGTGTTCACATTTGCGCATATTGAGTATCTGTGTTTAAAAGCCAAACACAATGGCTTCAACCTACAGGAAATTGAGATTCCACCAGAACACCTAAAACCCTGGATGAGGTAGGAAAGAAAATACATGATTGAGAGGAGCCCAAAAAGAATAAACAGTGGGGTAGGCTTTCAGTATAGGACGGGAGAAAGGGCATCATAGGCGAAATACTATAGATGGAGCAAACAGAAATGGGATAAATGGTCACTCTCCAAAGGCACATCGGAAGAGCCAAATTTTCACATTTTTCTTGAAGACTGCTAAGGTGGGGGCTTGCCTAATCTCACCAGGTAGTGAGTTCCAAAGTCAGAGAACCACAGCAGAGAAAGCTTCCTCCCTCGTTCCCAGTTTAAAACAACAATAATATTCAATTGGATCTTGGAGTCCTCATGGACAACAAATTAAACATGAGCCAAAAATGTGATACGGCGGCAAAAAAAGCCAGTGGGATTTTAGCCTGCATCAATAGGAGTATAGTGTCTAGAACAGTGGTTCTCAACCTGGGGGTCGGGACCCCTGGAGGGGTCGCGAGGGGTTGTCAGAGGGGTCACCAAAGACCATCACAGACAGTATTTTCTGTTGGTCATGGGAGTTCTGTGTGGGAAGTTTGGCCTAATTATATCGTTGGTGGGGTTCAGAATGCTCTTTGGTCGTAGGTGAACTATAAATCCCAGCAACTACAACTCCCAAATGTCAAGGTCTATTTTCCCCAAACTTCAACAGTGTTCACATTTGGGCATATTGAATATTGGTGCCAAGTTTGATCCAGATCCATCATTGTTTGAGTCCACAGTGATCTCTGGATGTAGGCGAACTACAACTCTAAAACCCAAGGTCAATGCCCACCAAACCCTTCCAGTGTTTTCTGTTGGTCATGGGAGAACTATGTGCCAAGTTTGGTTCAAGTCCATTGTTGATGTAGTTCAGAATGCTCTTTGAATGTAGGTAAACTATAAATCCCAGCAACTACAACTCCCAAATGACAAAATCAATCCTCCCATCCCAACCCCACCAGTATTCAAATTTGGGCATATTGGGTATTTGTGCCAAATTTGGTCCAGTGAATGAGAATACATCCTGCATATCAGATATTTACATAACAATTCATAACAGTAGCAAAATTACAATTATTAAGTAGCAATGAAAATAATGTTATGGTTGGGGGTCGCCACAACATGAGGAACTGTATTAAGGGGTCGCGGCATTATGAACGTTGAGAACCACTGGTCTAGAAGATCTAGGGAAGTCATGCTCTCCCTCTATTCTGCCTTGGTTAGACCACACCTGGAATATGGCATCCAATTCTGGGCACCACAATTGAAGGGAGATGTTGACAAGCTGGAATGTGTGCAGAGGAGGGCGACTAAAATGATCAAGGGTCTGGAGAACAAGCCCTATGAGGAGCAGCTTAAAGAGCTGGGCATGTTTAGCCTGAAGAAGAGAAGGCTGAGAGGAGACATGATAGCCATGTATAAATATGTGAGAGGAAATCATAAGTAGGAGGGAGCAAGCTTGTTTTCTGCTGCCCTGGAGACTAGGACACAGAGCAATGGCTTCAAACTACAAGAAAGGAGATTCCCTCTGAACATTAGGAAAAAACGTTAGGAAGAGACCTCATGGGCCATCCATTCCAACCCCATTCTGCCAAGAAGCAGGAAAATTGCATTCAAAGCAGATGGCCACCCAGCCTCGGCTTAAAAGTTTCCAAAGAAGAAGCCTCCACCACTGCTGAACAGCTCTCACAGTCAGGGAGTTCTTCCAAATGTTCAGATGGAATCTCCTTTCTTGTAGTTTGAAGCCATTGCTCCAGGGCAGCAGAAAACAAGCTTGCTTCCTCCTCCCTATGACTTCCTCTCACATACTTATACATGGCTATCATGTCTCCTCTCAGCCTTCTCTTCTTCAGGCTAAACATGCCCAGCTCTTTAAGCCTCTCCTCATAGGGCTTGTTCTCCAGACCCTTGATCATTTTAGTCGCCCTCCTCTGGACACATTCCAGCTTGTCAATATCTCTCTTGAATTGTGGTGCCCAGAATTGGACACAATATTCCAGGTGTGGTCTAACCAAGGCGGAATAGAGCATGGGGAGCATGACTTCCCTTGGGGGATCCCTTGCCATTCCTGAGTGTCTTGTGGTTGAGGAAGAATCCTGCCTCCTGTGACCCCCATCCATGCCAAGGACTGGAAGGGAGGAGCTTTGAGGGAGTTGCCTTGAGGGGGGCGGGGGTGGGCTCCGACCCTTGGCCCCCTTTCTCTGCCCAGGACGCACCCAAACCCTGCTTGGATGGGAGGCTGGGCAGAGAGGCGCTCCTGATGCGGGTTAAGCCGGAGCAGGAGGCGCGTGGGGATGCGCCGGCCCTTCCCTGCTTGTAGAGACAGGAATGCGTCCCGGTGCTGCTTTGTACAACTCACAGCTGTACAAAGGAGGAGGAGGAGGAGGAGGGGATGGGAAGCGGGTGCCTCCTCTCTCTCTCTCTCTCTCTCGCTCTCTCTCTCTCTCCAGACACATGCTCTCTAAGAAGACATGTCGGAGGTAAGGAAAAGTTCTGCACTTTGGCTTGGATTTGGTTCCCTTTCTATTCCTTTCCCTTCCCTAGACTGATTGGGATTGTTTCCTGAATTGTCGGGTTCCAAGCAGATCCCTTCCAAGGCGCTTGGAGTGCAATCCTACGAATTGTTTCCCAGTTTGGAAGCTTGGGAAGCGCCTTTATTCCCAGACTGGCTTCCAAGGAAAAGGGACTAAACGAAGAAGAAGGGTCCTCAAAGTGTGGCGGTGCCTTCTCGGTGTGGGTTTTTGAACAATCCTTTGTGATGTGAGTCTTTTCCTGGCTTCAGGTGGGAGCATCTGCAAATCACAAAAGGCTTAGTTGACAGTGAGTTGAATTTGTCCTGCTTCTGGATGGACTTTCATAGCTATATCCAATGCATGCCTTTTTTTTTTTGCAACTCCAGCAAGTGCTCTTAAGTAAATAAATTAGTGGGTTGTTGTGTGTTTTCCGGGCTGTATGGCCATGTTCCATAATAATAATAATAATAATAATAATAATAATTATTATTATTATTATTAATTATTATTAACTATTAAAAGATTCCATCTGAACACAAGGAAAAACTTCCTGACTGTGAGAGCCGTTCAGCAGTGGAACTCACTGCCCCGGAGTGTGGTGGAGGCTCCTTCTTTGAAGCTTTTAAACAGAGGCTGGATGGCCATCTGTCAGGGGTGATTTGAATGCAATATTCCTGCTTCTTGGCAGGGGGTTGGACTGGATGGCCCATGAGGTCTCTTCCAACTCTTTGATTCTATGATTCTAATAATAATAATAATAATAATAATAATAATCTTTATTTATACCCTGCCACCATCTCCCCCAACGGGGACTTGGAGCAGCTTACATGGTGCCAAGCATTCTCTCCTGACATTTCGCCCACATCTATGGAAGACATCCTCAGAGGTTGTGAGGTCTGTTGGAAACTAGGCAAGTGGGGTTTATATATCTCCCAGGGTGGGAGAAAGAACTCTTGTCTGTTTGAGGCAAGTATGAATGCTGCAATTGGCCACTTTGACTATTGTTGTTGTTGCTGTTGTTATTATTATTATTTATATGCCGCCTTTCTCTACCCCAGAGGGGACTCAAGGAGGCTTACAGATAGGCAATAATTTAATACCTTGGCAGCAATATACAGTTAAAATACATTAAAATTAAAATTAAGTGCATTAAAACATTATAAATCATTACTATCATTATAAAATCATGCAATCCACAATCATAATCCAGGTCATTCTGGTAGTCATTGCACTATAATTCCAGGTAATCTATTGCACTGTGTTGTCAAAGGCAAATCACCAGGTTGCTGTAATTTTTCTGGGCTGTCTGGCCATGTTCCAGAAGCATTCTCTCCTGACATTTGGCCTGCATCTATGGCAGGCATCCTCAGAGGTTGTGAGGTCAATAAATTATTGTTATTGTGTCACACGAAGTCACAAGAGATCGAGGCATTTGTGCCAGGGTGGGTCAAAAAGTAATGCCTCCGTCGCTCTAACTTTTCTTTCTTTCACAGCTACTGGGCTATCACGCATGATATGATAGAGGGAACCCTACTCTACTGATAGAGTATTTTCTTGTTCTCATTGAGTGATTAGAAACATGAATCGGAAGCTAAAAGAAAGAGTCGTCATTGAATTTCTGGCAAAAGAAGGTTAATGTTTAAAATGTTTTTATGGTGTTGTTGGGCATTGAATTGTTGCCTCTGTAAACTGCCTTGGGCTGAGAAGGGTGGTATATAAATATAGTAAATAAATAAGTAAATAAATAAATAATGTACACCTAAGGAAATCCGTAATCGCTTGCAGAATGTATTGTTGAAGGCTTTCATGGCCAGAATCACTGAGTTGTTGTGAGTTTTCCAGATTGTATGGCTATGTTCCAGAAGCATTGTCTCCTGACATTTCGCCTGCATCTATGGCAGGCATCCTCAGAGGTTGTGAGGTCACCTCACAACCTCTGAGGTTGCCTGCCATAGATGCAGGCAAAATGTCAGGAGAGAATGCTTCTGGAACATGGCCATACAGCCCAGAAAACTCAGAACAACCCACTTGCAGAATGTTTATGAATTGGCCCCTCCTGAATTTTACCTGTTTGGACCTATGTGGGTTCAGATTAAGTGACTTGAATGACATTCAAACAGCTTTAAAATAATGGATTACTGAAGCAAAACACTGAATTTTTCCAAAATAGTTTGGATGCCCGGGTTAACCAATGGTGCAAATGTGTACAAATTTAGAGTGACTATGTTGAACCATTGTTTTGTGTAGAGGACAGTTCAGACTACGATGTTGAGCAGCATCTGCTGTTATATGTTCATTCATAATGTTTTTATGATACAAGAGGCAAAACCTTGTTTGCAAAAAAGATGTTTTTGGTGAGTTGGTTCATTGGGGTCTTTCTCCCACTTCATTCCCATCCATCAGTTTGCTCGCTCTTCATTGTATGTCCTGTATTATATGTCCTGTATTATATGTCCACAAATGGATTGTGACCATGTTGAATGGTAGTTTTGCACAGAGGACAGTTCAGGCTATGATCTGGAACAATTTCTACTGTTATAGGTTCATTCATAACATTTTTATGGCACAGGAGGCAAAACCTTTTGACCCACCCGACTATTGTTTGCAAAAAGATGCTTCCGGGGAGTTGGTTGAATGGGATCTTCCTCCCAGTTCACTTCGTTCCCAGCCATCAGTTTGCTAGCTCTTCATTATATGTCCTGCACCCACATTTTGGAGATTCCTTGCCTTGGAGTGATAATTTTGTTACAGGTACTTCTAAATTGCAGTAAAAAAAAAACCCCAGAAAAACTGTTACTAAGCCATTAGAAACAGATACCTGCCTTTGAATTGGCTGCCTTCATAGCTTCATTCCACCAAAACCACACTCCCAAACTGTCATTTCTGTATTAACTTTGTTGGCATCCCTTCAGAAAGAGTTAATTACTCGACTGTTCAGTTCACAGATCCTTTCATTTTCAAAATCTAGTTTATTTCACTGAAAAATAAATCAATATGTGGCGTCGACAGATTGCTTGGCTGATTGGAAAAACCTTTTTTTGAATGTATTCATGTTTTCTCTTTAGTTTTTTTTGCGTTAGAAATATACTAATCATATATTATTAATAATATATAATAATATAATATATAATAGTAATAATAATATATACTAATAATATATTAATATATAATGCATTATATTAATATATAATGCATTGGTCCCTGTGTTTAGGGACCATTACATTAATAAAGGGTGTTGTTTTGTGATGATGGACTTCTATGGTGTTTTGGACCTCCACACTTCCCAACAGTCGGTATTATATTACTTTTATTATTTTATTTATTATTTTTATTATTATATTTCTATATTATTATTTTAATATTACTATATTATTATGTTATATAATTATTTTCATAGTTGGAATTGGCATTGGATTGATGAATATGATTATCTGGCTTTGGGTATATACACAATAGTTGTCTAATGTTTACATATGTTGTTTTAATGTTGTTTTAAATTGTTGTTTAATTACTTTTAATTGTTGTTGTTTGGGCATAAAAAAATGCCACTTATCTAAGCCGCCCTGAGTACCCTTCGCGGTGAGAAGAGCGAGATATAAATGTTGTAAGTAAATAAATCTATATAAATAAAAATATAATGTTTGTCTGTGGGATTAACATAACTCAAAAACCACTGGACGAATTGACAACAAATGTGGACACAATACACCTATCACTCATAAAAACACTGAAAAACACAGCAGAAGAACTAAAAAGCCAAAAAACCAAAAATTATATTACAATGCATGTGCAAACACACATATACCCAAATATATACACACACAAAACACATATACACAAACTGGGCCACAGCAACGCGTAGCAGGAGACAGCTAGTAAATAATAAAATAGTGTATTGTCGAAGGCTTTCATGGCCGGAATCACTGGGTTGTTGTAAGTTTTCTGGGCTATATGGCCATATTCCAGAACCATTCTCTCCTGACGTTTCAACCACATCTATAGCAAGCATCCTCAGAGGTTGTGAGGTCTGTTGGAAACTAGGCAAGTGGGGTTTATATATCTGTGGGATAATGCCCAGGGTGGGAGAAAGACCTCTTGTCTGTTTGAGGCAAGTATGAATGCTGCAATTGATCACTTTGATTATTGTTGTTGTTGTTATTATTATTTACTATATTTATATGCCGCCTTTCTTTACCCCAGAGGTGACTCAAGGTGGCTTACAGATAGGCAATAATAACCTCACTGCCTCTGAGGATGCTTGCCATAGATCAGTGTTTCTCAACCTGGGGGTCGGGACCTCTGAGGGTGTCATGAGGGGGTGTCAGAGGGGTCGCCAAAGACAATCGGAAAACACACTATTTTCTCTGGTCATGGGGTTCTATGGCCCAATTTGGTCATTGGTGGGGTTCAGGATGCTCTTTGATTGTAGGTGAACTATAAATCCCAGCCACTACGACTCGAAAATACCAAGATCTATTTTCCCCAAACTCCACCAGTGTTCATATTTGGGCATATTGAGTATCTGTGTCAAGTTTGGTCCAGATCCATCATTATTTGAGTACACAGTGCTCTCTGGATGTAGGTGAACTACAACTCCAAAATTCAAGGTCAATGCCCACCCACCAAACCCTTCCAGTATTTTCTGTTGGTCATGGGAGTTCTGTGTGCCAAGGTCAGTTCAACTCCACCCTTGGTGGAGTTCAGAATCCTCTTTGCTTGTAGGTGAACTTTAAATCCCAGGAATTACAACTCCAAAATGACAAACATGCCCAACCCACCAGTATTCAAATTTGGATGTAGCGGTATTTGTCCAGTGAATTTGGTCCAGTGAATGAAGATACATCCTGCATATCAGATATTTACATTACGATTCACAACAGTAGCAAAATTACAGTTATGAAGTAGCAACAAAAGTAGTGTTATGGTTGGGGGTCACCACCACAGGAGGACCTGTATTCAGGGGTCAC